TCCTGTTCTCCAGGCTGTGCCTCCACGTGGAGCCGGCCCGGGCAGGGTGAGCCCAGGCCCCTGGAGCCGGCCCGGGCAGGACTGGGCTGCGGGCTGCGTCCCGACGCCGGCTGCACGGAGCTCCGTGGAGCTGTGCCGGTCCACCCCCGAGGTCTCCCCTCTGTCCCCCGTGTTCCCACCTGGGAGCAGCTGCGGACCACCGCCCGCTGACTGATGAACCAGCTGCAAGCATGGGCGGAAGGCTAACGGGGCTCGGGTCGACCGCAAGCAAGGCCCAGGGGAGCTGCGGTGACCCTCGCCGGCCAGTGACCGCACTGCTTTCTCGCTGTGATGACTTTCCGGACACACGGCACGGCCTACTCTTCCCTTTCCACGGCCCCGCTGGCATCTCACTCCTCACCGTGCCGGACCCTGGACGGGAGGACAGGTGTCACACACGCCCGCGTTCTCTGCTGCCTGGCAGGGACCTCGCCAGCTTCCACACACAGCAGCTCGTCAGTGAGTGAACTCAATGAGAGACAGCCCCGGCAGCAGCAGCAGCCCCGTCCGCGTGGGCTCTGCTGGGCCCGAAGGCCTCCGCCCCGCCTGCACATGCCAGCCCACTCCTCCGTGAGGGTGGGGGGCACCCAGTTGCCCCCTGCACGGGGAGACAACAACTGAGCGTGAGTGTTGGCTCCCCGGGAGGGCAGGCGGTGGATGCGGCCCAGCACAGCCGCCCCGGCCCGCCGTGCAGAACGGGGACCCCCCCCCCACACACACACACACAGCAGAGGCGGTGGGGTCCCCCTAGCGAGGGGCGTGTGAGGGTTCCTCCCTCCAGCTCTGAGCTCTGCACGCACGAGGAGGCGGCCCCAGGGACCCTTTCTTCGGCTCTCCCTGCTGAGAAGGTGGCGAGGCTCTCCGGGAACCGACAGATGCAATCCTAGGAGGTGATCAGAGCCCCCTGTCCCCGAAAAGCTCATCGCCTGCCCTTTCCACCCTCGTGGGTATTACGCGGGGCCCACTGCCCGCGTACAGCATGGTGAGAGAGCAAGTCCACGGTGGTTGGCCTGGAAAACCGCACAGGGATTGATAAATAGTAACTCAAGCACGCGCTGGTGTGCGCCGTCTCGGCTGTAAACGTCCCAGTGCCGCACCCCGTCCGCGCATCCTCCCGGAAGCTAATGTAGGGCAGGCGCTGTCCTTACGTAACGCTCTATTTCTGTCGTCCGCTCTGCGGGCGCCCCGGTGCCTGCAGGAATCCGCCGCGCTGAGCCGGGCCTCGGGACGCTGCGCGGTGGGGTTCCGCCCGCAGACGGGACAGGACTGGGAAGGACCGGCTCCGCCCCCAGGGGCGCACGGGGTACCCTGGGCCCCAGACGCAGCCACGCACACGGGCACCTCCCAACCGGCTCCCCGTGCCGTTCACGCGGCAGGGAGGAAAGGCTGGGCGTGCAGACAGGGGCAGGACGGGTCACGCATCGCGCTCCACGGAGGCGAGGCCCCGCGCCACGCACGGAAGTCCTGCAATCCGCGTGCATTTACAGAGTCGCGGTGAACTGCAGTCAGCACCGCCTGTGACGCCCCTCACGGAGCGGTCTTATTTCCCGCGGATGATGGGCTGTGAGTTTGGAGATAAGCCTCTCTCTCGCTCCTGGCTGATTTTTGAAAGGCCCTCAGCGATGACTGCATCAGACGCCTGGAAACCGCAGCTTACGGTAGAGCACATTTTACCAACACCAAAATTCCTACTTCTGAGTGGTCTTAATATCCACCTCGGCCGCCCCAGGCGTCAAAAGCGGAACCCATGAGTTGCTTTCTAACGCTCTGGCCCGCGCCGCCCTGCCCAGATCCATAGCCACGCACCCCACACGGCCGCAGAGCACGGGACACGGGAGAGGACTCTGACCTGGAACGCGCTAGGACGATAACTTGCACAAATGTCAAAGACGAGCAATGCAAAATCCACGGGAAATAATACCGCGGCGACTGTTTGTACCGACGATATGGTGAACGGCACCGTTTGGGACACTGGGCTAGAAAACAAAGTGCACCATTCAACGTCCACCTGTGCCCTTGGCCTTGTGAACGCTGCCCCTGGGAAATCGCGCGCGGGGCCGTTTCTGTTGGTGCCGCTCCGGGGCACGCACTTCCTAGCCCTTTAGAGAGAGGAGCCGGCTCTGTGCTCCCAGTTTCGGCTGCCCAGGCAGGCGCCGACGCACTGTGAGACCCTGGCCACCCTCCCTCCCCCTCCCAAAGCTGGTCGGGGTTCAGGAGTCACCCCGGCCCTCTTGTCTCTTTTCCGAGACGGCGGGGAAGGCCAGGAGCGTGGCCTGGGTCACACCCGACTGCTGCCTCGTGTCAACAGAAATTGAATGCCAAGGTGTCTTGTCTGTTTGCAGGAACAACAGCATGTCCAAATACCCCGAGAAGCACTCCGTCAAAATCTCTAGTCACTTCCTCGTTCCCCTCCCGTTAAACAAACCGCTCCTATCACATAAGAATTTCCCATGAAACGACCTACGTTCCAGTTCACGTCCTTGAAAACCTCCTATCGGGCCCTTGCTGGGGTGGCTCGGGTGGAGTGATGTCCCATACACAGAAAGGTCGGGGGTTCGATTCCCGGTCTGGGGACACACCCAGGTTTCGGTTAGATCGCTGGTTGGTCATGCATGGGAGGCTACCAATGGATGGAAGTCTCTCTCTCTCTCACACTGATGTGTCTCTGTTTTTCTTTCTCTCTCCAATCAATTAAACGCATTGTTAAAATTAAAAAAAGAAAAAAAGACAAGAAAAGAAAGCCAAGTATCGAGTCTCAAGTATCGAGGCTACATGAAGGAAGAGAATTTCCTGGGGAAAGGGATGCAAAATCCCCAAAAGCAGACCTACTCACGGCAAAACAAAGTGAAATGAACTGTTGATCCATTGTTACAGCAATGATAGGCTTGAGAAGCTACCTACTTAATAATCAGAGCAGGCATAATTGGGGAGATTAAGTGAGATAAACTAGCTCACTCTAAAACATAGGGCTTTATACATTTGGTACAAAGAGAGAGAGAGAATAAGTCAAGGTAAACTTCTCAAGATTTGCATAAAGCCTGACCACCTCCAAGAACAGCCAGGGCAGGAAAGGAGGAAAAGGGTAGGGAACCAGCCAGCGGGAAAGGGGAGGGTCTCGTCTTCCCAGATGCTACCCATTCTCGGTGTGCAGACACCAGTGCCGGGCGGTCCACCGTTCCACGTGCGTGCACCAGCCAAGAGGAGACCCCAGCTGGTCACCACCTTGCAGGCGGGGCCCCAAAAGTTCCATTGCATCACTTCAGGGGACAGCTACGGCACCTCGAGTCCTGAGCACGCATCCGGCTCATTTCAGAAGCTTAATAAGTTTGGTTTTAACGAGACATGTCGGTCTGCACTAACATTCACAAACCTCCCACAACAGGTCCTCTGGGCCTTTCATTACAGATGAGGGCGTTTGACAATGTGACTGCCTGACCCCCGGGGCAGGAAAATTCCTGTGCCCCAACTGTCCTCGGGGAACCCCGAAGCTCTGTCCGACTGTGTCATGCCAGCATCTGTGGCTGCCTACTCTCTTCTGTCCCATGACTGACCTCTCTGGGGATTTTTTTGTTTGTTTGTTAGTTTGTTTAGAAATTCATCCTTTATCAATCTGGGTCCATGAATAAAGAGGCTGTTTTACTTGTGTGCCTTTAAAAAAAAAAATGCGTCTCCTCACTACTCAACCACCTGGCCGGGCGAAAGCGGGGACAAGGGCACCTGAGCCATGTAAGACGAGAACACCCCTTCTGTTTAGTAGCAGGGCATCATCGGGGATCATTTCCCGGCCCTGCGCCTTGGGAGCTGTGTGACCTCGGGCAGGTCACTTTCCCTCTCTGACTCACGGGGCTTTGGGTTTAAATTGGCCCATGCGAGCATTTCCTCCCGCATTCCAGGGCTGCATGAGATGAAGGAATCACCTATGCACACCCCGGCCAGGTCAGTACTCTCCATAAACTAGGCGGGCCGTGTGTAGGTCCTAAGAAGTCTTATTGAGGCCAGAGGCTCAGGCTTGGGGTAGTGCTCAGGGAGGGGGCTCTCTCTGTAGTTATATTTCTACACTGAACATTGTCTTCTTTGAATCCTCCTTGGCTGGTGGTGAGATTAGGACCCATCCCAACCCACTAGGGAGCGGTTTACTGGCACAGACAGGACCAAAAGTCTCTCCGGTGTGTAACTTAAGAGTGCATCTCACACTTCCAGTGTCTTGGGTGCAGACGCGGATTCCGAGTGGGCAGCTCTGTGGGCCGGGGCCTGGGCGCCCCACTGCGCCAGGGCTCCCCGGGGATGCCCAGCTGCGCGGTCACTCTGACACTTAGGGGTAGCTATGTGTGTGTGTGGGGGGGGGACGGTGTGGGGCGGTCCTGGGCATTGTGAGGCAGGGGGTGGTGCAGCTGCAGCAGCAGCAGCAGCATTAGCGCTGGCCTCTTCCACCCCCTGGATGACAGCACCCCCCAACCCCCACTCCAGCAAGGGCACTCCAAATGCCTTCCAGACATTGTCAGATGTCGCCAAACCGGCGGGCTGACGACAGATGCCCTGCTAGAGGCAAGGTGCGTGCACCTCTTTGGAGCCCGCGCCTGCAGCCCCGGGGCAGGCAGGCTTGGGGGGGAGGGGGGCGACGGTTCTCGAGGCACCTGGGCAGATGGGGAAACTGAGGCCGACCGGCGTGCGCGCGTCCACAGCCCTCGCGGCCTGATGCAAACTTTGGCCCCGCGCGGGGGTCCCCCGAGCGCGGCGCCCTCCTGCGCCGTAACCCACGCGCGGCACGGTCACCGGAAGTGAGTGGCCCGGGCGGCAGCGGCGCCGCCTCGGCCCCGCGCGCGGCCGGCCAGACGTGGCCCCGCCGCGGGCCCCAGGGTGCCGGGTACGGCTCCACCGCGGCCCCGGGCCTGGAGAGCCCGCGCTTCCTTCCCGCGCCTTCCCCGGACAGCCCTCGCGGGATGCGGCCGCAGGCTACCCACCCAGAAGCAGGCCGTCCATGTCAAAGAGTAGGTGGGTGACAGGCCGCGGTACTTGCAAGGGCGCCGCCATTGTGCCGCCGTTCTCGGGCAGGTGGGGGTGGGGAGGAGACAGGCGCGCGCGCGCGCACCCGCCCGCCCGCCCCAACGGGCCGCGCACGCACGCTCCGGGCCGCGCCCGGCGCCCCCAGACGCACTGCACTTGCACAGCCCAGGGGCGCCTCGCGCTCGCGCCCGCAGCCGGCCCCGCGCATGCGCGCTCCGAGGCACCCGGGGCGCCCCACCTTCCCACCACCGCGCGCACGCGCATCCTGGGCCTCAGGCCACGCCCCCCGAAGTGGGCCGTGCGCGCGCCCCTGGGCCTCTCCGGGCGCGTGCCTTTGGCGCTCCTCACGCGCGCTCCGAGAATCGCCGGCCTGTCCCGCGCACACGCTCCGTGGCTTTTCACGTGTGAGCCGTGGCCGGGACAAGTCTCTCGTGCCCCCCCCCGCACCCCTGATCCTTTTCCACCCGCACCCGGGCCGGGGTGCTCCCTCCAGGGGCCGCGCGGAGCCGGCTTCCCAGTGTCGGGGCCGCGTGCGCGGCTTGTGCCATTTAGAAAGGGCGTGCCGTGCGGAAGGAGGGAAAGCCTGCGGGGACTGGACGCGCGTGTCGGGGGGAGACGTGCAGAGAGGCTCGGGCTGGCGTCGCTGCGAGCAGCCGCAGGGCACTCGGTCTCGGCAGCCCCCCCCGTGCGCGGCGGGGCCCGGGCGCATGCGCGGGGCACGCGGTTCTGCAGACCCGGCGGCGGCACCTCCAGCGCGCCGCTGGAGCCTCCTAGCTCGCGCACTGGCCCCAGGCAAACCCCCAGGGCCAGAATCGGATAGGAAAGACACGTAATAAGGTTTTTAAAAAATGCCTTGTCGTCTTTGCCTTCCTTCTGAGCTATCAGTCTTTGCTTGCTCTGAGTTTTCTTCCTTTTCCAACCTTGGCGAATGCAACTTTGGTGGCCTCACCGAGAGCTACGGGGGGGGGGGGGGCCCTTGGGCCTCTGCGGGCGCGCGCCAAACATTTTCACCCCTCTCTCAGGGATGCATTTTTGTCCGAGTTTCTGTTGATGTTCTGTGGTGGTGTTGCCCGTGCACGCTTAAGCATCAGGATAGGACCTTCCAAGAAGCAGAGGTGAGAACGTTCCAGAGACTTTAAAGTGTGAGTGTGTGTTGGTGGTGACCTGCCCCACCTATGTGCACTGGATTCACCAAGTTCCTCAAGGATACAGGGCAATGGGACCTTGGCGCCTCAGTTTCCTCGTGTGTGAAATGGGACGTTAGATGAGAGGAGGCAGGCGGGCCAAGCTCCGCACTACCAACCGTGTGTACGTACCTTCAGTTAAGTTATATCTTTGTACAGAGCGCGCTGTTGTTGTCAAGAGAGTGTCCCCCACTTGCTCCAAACGTGATTCTCCACTGAGGGTGGGGAACCCCGGGAGAGGAAAGGGAGCCATCGGTTGGGGGGGGGGGTGTGCTGCAGAACGCCCTCGGTGGTTCCCCGAAAGGGTCATGAAATGGGTGTGGGGGGGGCGTTAAACAAGAGCTGTGTCCAGCCCCCCAGTCCTGCAGGCCAGATGTCCTGCAACAACGGGCCAGCCCTGTGCATTTCCTGTGAGGCCTCTTTCTTGGGCTCGTACTCGGCCTTCCGGTCCCAGCCCCCCCTCCCCCGCCCCATGATCTCTCTATGGTCCTTTTCCTGTGTGTCCATTTCCGTGCCCAAATTTACCCTTTGGAGAAGGACAGCGGGCGTAACAGGCCACCACCCACCCTGAGGGGCACATTGCCGGTTGATTACCTTCCTGAAAACTGGATCTCCCAATAAGGCCACCTTCCGAAGTCCCGGGCAGTTGGAACTCAACGTGCGTCTTAGGGGGACAGGATCCCCTCGGTGACAGATGCGTTCCCACTGGTGCGGGCGAAGCGCCCGCGGTGTGCCGGCGCGCACCTGCCGGAGGGGTCCCTTAGAACTCTGCAGCTCAGCTTCTGTCCGTTGTCTGCACAGCCGCGGATCCGCACACCAGAGAGCCGTTCTTCTTCAGAGAGCCCGGTGTCACGACGTTGCGTTTCTGTTGGGTCCCTGAGATGAAAGGAGTGTTCTGGAGAGGGATGCGCGCCCAGGACTGAGAATTGGACACCGGGCAACAACCCCGTGCGAGAGTGGGTGCACAGGTGGCACCGGGAAGGAGGTTGGGAGTGGCCCGGGTTGGGACGCCTCCTAGACGTGGGGTGAGACGCTGAGCAGACTCAGGGTTTCGGGTGAGGAAGGTGGCGGGCGTGCCGGGGCAGAGATCCCGGATGAGGTTCCCCCTCGCCCTGTGCTAGCCCCTGTAGCTCTGGCTGTTGTTGTACGACAGTCCATTTTGTTTGCTAACGGGAACCAAAGTGCTGGAGGGGAGTTCCCCTCCCTCCCTCCCTCCCTCCCTCCCTCCCTTCCTTCCCCCGGGTGGAACCACAGAGACCTCAGGGCCCCTGGGGAAGACATGCAGTGGGAAGCTGGGTGCCTCTCCCCGCCCACCAGTGATGTGGACACGCGGCTGGCTCCCCTGTGTAAGCCCCTCTCCACACCCTCCAGGAGTGTCCCCCGCGTGGCTGCGGGACCCCCTCCCCTCCCCCAGCTCCGAGTCCCCAGAGGCCTCTCTGCCCCAGGCCAGCCTGCGAAGCTGTGACACCCTGCTCTTCTCTAGGGGGTTCTAAGCAGCCGCCGCCGAGACGCTTTTTAGCGTTCCATCGCTCCGACAGCGGTGGGCAGCATCTGCGAAGATCCGGACGGATTTCCTCCCACAAATCGCAAATCCTTTTGACTTTTTTATTTATTTCCTTGCTCACGTCCGTTTTTAGAATCCTCACCCGAGGATGGGCGTTCATTTGTTTTAGAGAGAGAGGGAGGAAAAGCGAGGGCGAGGGAGTAACATCGACACATTGCCTGCCGCACATGCCCCCCCCGACCGGGGGTCAAACCCTCGACCTGTGTGTATGTGCCTTTGACCTGGAAGCAAACCCACAACCTTTTTGTGTACGGGATGATGCTCCAAGCCACGGAGCCCTCCAGCCAGGAGGGCTGTCCCAGCTTGTTTTTGCAAAACCGTTTCCCCCCCGAGGGCCACTGCTGACTTTCCTTGACAAATGGGATGCCACGGGGAAGATCCGGCCAGCTGACAGGAGGTGGTCTGCAAAGCTCACCAAGCAGTGGCGGGGCCGCTAAAAACACGCTCATTTCTCACCAACGTGTACACGTCAACATGACACTTACTGTAAAACAAGAAAGGATAGATACAGACATATGGCAGTAGAGATTCGAGAGAGGACCTCTCTCTATAGCCCGGAATTGTCTCCTGGACAACAGGCCCCTTGTAATACAGGCTTCCCCGCCAAGCGAGTGTTCTAGGAACACTCCATCTGTATCTGTGCGCCAGCTGGCGTTGTTGTGAGAGGCTGTGTTTGGCTGCAATGACTTCTGTTTTTTTTAAGAGTTTCACGGTGTTTACCCATTGCATGATGGGGGTTTACGAGCGCACCTGCCCACCCCGCACTGAGTGTGCAGCAGGGTTTGACCCAAAACGGCGTGACCCCCAAGCCTCACCCTCCCTGGTCACCTGCTCTTCCCTCGAGCCACTTTTTTGTGTCTCTGGATGAAAAAAAAAAAAAGTCTCCCAAGGGAAACGTTTTGCCGACACGGAAAAGGTCAAACAAACAAGCAAACAAACAAACAAAAAAAAAAACCCCGCAGAAGCACTAAAAGGCATCAGAACGGACAACTTCAAAACCGGTTTTGAGCTGTGCAAAAAAACATCTCCATAGCTGTATCGCCCCAGACGGAGAGCCCTTTGTAGGCGACTGAAGTTTAAACAGGGCAGAATAAAAACACAAGTTTTTACAAATACATCCCGGGAGGGTTTTTTTTTGGGGGGGGGAGAGGGGAAGGCAGGGCCCCAGCCTGTATATGCCAGTGCGTGTACAGTCTCCGCGTCTCTGGACTTTCCCATTGTTTGCCGTCTGGGTGTTTCCGGCTGCCCGCGTTTGCAGTACATGTTGCGTTTGGCACGGAGCCGCGGCCGCGGTTCTGGTTGGGAGGTTGTGATTGGAAGCGGGCCCGGCTCTGCCGTGCGCCCCGGGCGGCCCTCGCCTCCTTCCCTTTCCCCGCCTTCTCCGCCTGTCTCCCGCCCCGCCCTGCCCTCTCTCTCTCTCTCTCTCTCTCCCTTTCCTCACTCCCTCTGCTGTCTGGGGTCTGGCCCAACCCTCGCGGGCGGCGTAGCTGCCTCCCTGCAGCACCTGTCAGGCGTGGGCATGTTCCCGGCGGAGGTCCCCGAGGGTCTGTTCTCCCCGAGTCCCAAGCGGGGCTGCCCAGGGCCCTGCGTGCATGCGTGCGCGCCCTCCAGCCTCCCGAGCGTCCGCGCCCGGCCTCGCCGGGCCGAGGGCTGGGTTGGACTTGTAGGACCCACGGGGCGGAAATCCCTCGCCCGGCGGACAGGCGTGCATGCCAGGCGGAGTCCCCCACGGGCTGCACGGGGCTCCGGGCGCCGAGAGGCCGGCTGGGAGAGCCGCGGGTGGTTCGCGGTTAGAGCTGGCGGCGTTTTGTTTCGGGACAGCTGGAGAAGAGCGACCCCTTGCCCTCCCGGGACGAGCGAGGACCGCTCCCTCCTTCATAAACAACCACCGTTTCACGATCCCCCGGACCTTGACGCAATGATTGTGGTGGTAATTATTCTCGGGAGGCTGCGAGGGAGCAGCGCATTGCCCCAGGCCACGCACCTGGCAGGGAGCGGGAGGGGCAGGCCTGGGCGGGCGGGAGCGCACAGCCTGTTTTCCCGTTTTCCTCCGCGTTTTCGGTAATGAATGTGAACATCCAGTACATTCCTGATTGTACCCAAAGGGGAGGAGGGGAGGTATTTTCTGGAGAGCATCAGAAGAAAAAAGAAAAGCTAGTAAAAAATCAACGAGAACACACACATTTTTTTTCTTCTGCAGTCTGCATGTACATAAGGCCGCGCGGCCAGAAGGGCAGCAAGCTCACTACCTGCCTTAGGCAAGGGGCAGGTGGGAGTGGCCGGGTGGCTGCCCCCTCTTCCTCCCCGGGAATAACCTAAACCAGGAAAGCGTGGTGGCCCTGTCCCTTGGTAATAGCCCACAAGCAAGGTGTCCACCAGCCACGTGTCCACAGTGAAAACCAGCTATTCCGTGGTCCCCAGTGCTCTGCTTGTTTTTACTTCTAACACGGCGTTTCCCAAGCACGCCACCCACGCCTGGTGCAGCGAAAGGAAGATGGGTTAACTTCCCGCCGGGTGAGTCCTGCCCACCGTGGTTTCCGACGCGGCGGCTGGGGTCCCCTGGGAGTCAGATTCTGCGTCCCCCACCCGCTAGGGCCGGGGACCAGGGTGGGGCGTGAGCCAGGCCCCGGGGTGCCGATGCATGGGGAGCGGAGCATAGCAAACGCCCCCACAGCACACTGCACAGAAGGAGAGTGAGAGGGACCGGAGGTGGTGAGGGTTAGGGGGAACCGGACGTGCGTATCTAAACGCATGAGTATTTTGTACACGCGCTGGGTGTGTGAAACAGTTGGCTGTGTCGTTTGAAGACACTTGAGGACACGTCTTTATGGAACATTTGGTGCATCTAGCACAGACCCACGTGAAGGGGGTGTGTGCAAGAAACGGCACGTGTTGCGTGGTTTGGAGAAACTTAAGGGGAGCCCCTGGCTGGTGTGGCTCGGTGGATTGAGCACTGACCTGCAGACTCAAGGGTCGTGGGTTCAATTCCCAGTCAGGGCACACGCCTGGGTTGCGGGCCAGGTGCCCAGTTAGGGGCGCCCGAGAGGCAACTACTCATTGATGTCTCTGTCCCTCTCTTTCTTCCTCCCTTCCCTTCTCTCTAAAAGTAAAGAAAAGAAAAGAAAAGAAACTTAATGGGAGAGATCATTGTACACCATTTAAACCCATTTCATTGAAATGTAGAGCCCTGGCTGACGTAGCTCAGTGGATTGAGCGCGGGCTGCGAACCAAAGCATCACAGGTTCTATTCCCAGTCAAGGCACATGCCTGGGTTGCAGGCCACAGCCCCCAGCAACCACACATGGATGTTTCTCTCTCTCTCTCTCTCTCTTTCTCCCTCCCTTCCCTCTCTAAAAAATAAATAAATAAAATCTTAAAAAGAAAAGAAATGTAGAAACATATCATATATGGAAACAGATGTCTGTGGCTATAAGAAACTTACGAGGACAGCTCATTTTACATGAAGTCAACATATTTAATTTAATTTAATTTAATGTCTTTAAACACACATGTCAATAGATGTGTGTGTGGCTTTAAGAAGCTTAAGGTGAAAGGTCTTCATATACAATGTATAAAGCCTTCATCCAACAGCCCTTAGCTTGAGGGCCCCCCCACCAGGGGACACCGCAGATGGTCAGCGCACTGGGTGCTGGGCACTGTGTGGTCCTCCCCCCCAACCCCGAGCTGAGACAGGACATGGGTCCTCTGGCCAGGAGCTTTCTGAGGCCTCAGCATCCTGGGCCCGCCGCCCCTGGTTGGGGTGCTCTGCTCTCTTCAGCCCGATGGACAGCCTTCCGCGTGCAACACTCCTCAGGGAGGCCGAGGTCAGACTCCGCCTCCCCAGGGACACGGCGGGTGGCCGGCCGGCACCCAAGTCCTCTGGACAAGGCTGGGCGGGCCTGGGACCGCCGCCGAGGGGGCTCTGCCGGCCTGGGCTGCACCCCTGAATCACCCCCACACAGACACACCCCACCGATGGCCTCGGGGACCCATGGGCAGCGACGGAGGGGACCGGCTTGCAGCCGTTGGCCTTTTGCTCAGCAAGACCTCCTTGAGGAGGAGGAGGAGGAAGGTGGGGAGGGGCTGACATGGGGGAGGCGCTCAGATGGAGCAGAGCCATTCATTACCCCTGTCTGGGGAGGAGCTGATGGGGTGGAATCGGGGGAGGGGGCGGCTCTCAGGAACAGGTGAGGGTGCCCTTCAGACGGACATGGGCCTCTGCTGGAGGGAGGGCCTGCCTCAGCAGAGCTCGCTGCTGCTGCTGCTGCTGCTGCGGCTTCGTGCTCATGCATGGCCGGGGCAGGGGCAGGAAAAAGCCAGAGGCTGCCCCCTCCGCATGCGCCTCCTTCCAGGCCCACCAGAAGCGCAGCTCGGCTCCGCTGGGGGGTGGGGTGGGGGTGGGTGGGGGCAGCCCCCGCCTGAAATGCACGGAGCTTTAGCACCCCTCTCCGCCCGCATGCATAGGCTTTGGAGCAGGCCCAGAGCAGGGTGTCCCGCGGGCGCTGGGACCTGGCTGGGACCAGCTGCTGTCTCAAGGCCCCGGGAGCACCAATGCTGTCTTTCTTTCGGTGCCACCAGGCTCGTCCCCCTGCCCGAGTGCTGCAGCACCTTCTCAGACTGCGCCGCGCCGTCACCCCGGGGCCACCCCTCACGTGCCAGCTATGCTGGCAGAGGCGGGATGTGTTAGTCACCCGAGCGCCTCCCCAGGGCCCGAGGCGCTGCACACGCAACCAGGACAGAGAGGCCGTGTTTTATTTATAGACGTGCATTCGTGGAAACCGCGATGCCGCGTTAGGGTTTTTGGGGTTTTTTTTCCCCCCTTTTTCTTTTTCCCTTCCTCCCCCTACACAGAGCAGTCCGGGAGACCCCCCCCAGGAGGCCGTGGAAGCTGCCTCCCCGGGACTGTGGCCTCCGCGGGGTGTGGGAGCGGAGTCCCCGCTGATTTCGTCACCCGGCGCCCAGCGCGGGATGCCTGCCTGCCTGCCTGCCGGCCTGCCGCCCACCCGGGTGCCCGGCGGCCTTGCTCACGGCACAGCGAATTCCTGGGGGGCTCCGTGTGCCGGGGAGGTGGGCGGACTCACACCCCACGCTTTCTGGGCGGGCGGAGCGATCAAAACATGACCCCAGCTCCTACCACCCCCTGGGACCTGTGCGACAGCCACGTGGGTGGCCTCCCCTGACCCCCCCACTCTCCACAAACGCCTGTTCTGGCTGCCTGCTCTGCACACACACGTCCCCAGCGATCTCGCCTCCCTTCCCCCGCCCCCACCTTTCCGCATCAGGGTTCCGGCAGGGCAGATCCAGATTGCAGTGCAGTCCCGAAAGCGTCACCCCCTGATTTATATCCAAAACACGTGGGGCGGGAGGGACGCGCCGACAGGCAGACACGAACCCCGGAATAACTTTTTTATGATAGATTCGCCCGTGACCCAGCGGTGACCCGACAGCGGGCCATGGTCCATATAACTGCCCGGGCCGCCGGGCGGCTGTTCACACCCCAGCACGTCGGGCTGGGGTGCTGCTGCTGCTGCTGCTTGTCCGAGAGCTGGCCAGGTCCCTGCAGGGAGGCGTCGCCACGTCCCAGGTCCCCCCCGGGAATCCCAGGTCCCCAGGAATCTGAGCCGCCCCCCCCCCCCCGCCCCGCCGGAGCCCGCTCCTGCTCTGAAAGCCTCATCGGAAGTGGTGAGTTGGATGATTTCTGTTTGTTCTCTGCTGCTGCTGCTGCTGCTGAGATGGTGAGATAGGCAGAGACGGAGGATCCTGGGAATCGTGACTCGGGGGCATCTGGCTGGGAAGCAGGCTCCAGGCGTGCGTGTGTGGTCCTCTGCGGAGAGGACCGTGCGTGCGCAGGGTGGGTTCATGGCAGAAAATGAAAGAGCGGAGTCTACCCTGGCTGGCGTAGCTCAGTGGATGGAGCTCGGGCTGCGAACCAAAGCGTCGCAGGTTCGATTCCCAGTCAGGGCACATGCCTGGGTTGCAGGCCACGGCCCCCAGCAACCACACATTGATGTTTCTCTCTCTCTCTCTTTCTCCCTCCCTTCCCTCTCTAAAAATAAATAAATTTTTTTAAAAATCTTAAAAAAAAAAGAAAGAGCGAAGTCTTGGCTATGGTGCC